GCCCGCGTTCCTCTGAGTGAGGGGTGTCAGGTGCTGGGGCGGGCTGCCCAGAGCCTTTGGGGTGTTCCCAGCCCTGGAGGTGTTCGAGACTTGGGTGAGCAAACGCCTCCTCACCCTGATGTAATCGGCCCTCCTGCGAGCAGGGGTTGCACGAGGTGACCTCCGGAGGTCGCTTCTAACCGAACTTACTCTACATCTGAAGCTCTGTGTGTGTGGTTAAGTCAAATGGAGGAACAAGAGGAAAAAAATCATGGGGGAAGGAGATACTTTTTTTTTTCTGAATTAATTAATCATCTTCCAAATAAGAAAATCGGATAATACTGCAGACTGAGTTAGTTCCAATACATTTAGTATACGCTGTACTCTAAGTGTGGTAAACCCACTGCTGCCTTTCCATTTATGTGTGCAGCAGCCATAAAATTCCCATTACTTTTCTTAATCGGTTTTGTGTTTTCTTCTATGAAGCTTTCAATGGAAGCTTAGGTATTTTTGCTGTGTTCCTCGTCTCTATTCTGTGCCAAAATGTGGTGGTCTTTTACGCACCAGTCCAAGTGACAACGCAAATAGTAAGGACTCAGACGACATCCTTTGTGTTTTAGGTACACTTAGGTTTAGTTTCCCAAAGTGTGATCTAATCTAAATTTTTACGAGGTTTTTGAATTGGACCTATTTAAATACTGCCTAGGACTTGTATGGAATGATGTAACATTAGTCATTCACCAGATAGGAGAATGGAAGTGCGTGAATTAAGTTTTGAGTAGGTTAGTGATATGCATGGTAACATTTCTCATACTCTCATGCTTGTCTTCGGTCTATAGTTAGACCACACAACTTTCTCCTTTGTAGCAACACTGCTTTTCACTTTGATTGTGGAAACTTTCTTGTATGACTTTTTTTTTTTTTTAAATGGAAAACTGCAGAAGTGGGAGAGGTATGAAGCTTGGTACGTTTTGAAGAGCAATTTCCCAAGACATCTTTGCAGAATATTCTCATAAAGTTTTTTCAGCTTGCTTTAAAAAAATAAAAAGGAGAAAGCCTCAGCCACCTCTCAGGGAAGGTTTCTGTCCCAAAATACACTGGCTTTCTCACAGATTTTTCTGACAAAAAGGACACTTTTTTTTTTAAATTAGAGTGCAAAACATGCAGTTTTAGACAGACTAATTTTCATAACTTTTTAATGATATTTTTTACTTTGTTTTACTATGTGTTTTTAAAGTTTCTGGACACTTATTTCTGAGGAAACAACTACAAGGAGAATATTATTCCTAAATCTCCAGTGTTCATGGCTGTAGGAGGGTTATGATTCTAGCAAGGCCCATATGCAAAGTAAGAGACACAATACAAATGTTAATTAAGCAACCTGAGGGAGCAAAGGTGAAAACTACCAAGCTGAATATCACCTGACCTGTGATAATCAAGTGCCCCATCACAGGGAATGAGGGAGAGAGAAGCAGTGATGGAGAGAGGAAGGAACATTCTTCCATTTTGTGTTAGAAAATAAGTTGTTGGCATGGCTTTTGTGAGGGCTCCAGTCAAGAGGAATAAGAAGGATGTAGCTCTAAGAGCTGTCAGCCAGTCTAGACCAGTAACAAACTGTAGAAGTTAATTAGCTGACATCGTGAACTACCAGCATTCGCATAAACAGAAATGCAGATAGCCCAGTCCTGTTTCTCCACTCCAGTTGGTAAGGGTTGGAGCTCATTAGTGAAAACATCAGCCCTTGCTCTCTAGCTTCCCGAATACATCCGCATTCACAGATCTCTCTAATATCAGTGTGGGCTCTAATATCCATGCCTAGACCCTTGGCCCTTACCCAGTATGCAGGGCCTCCCCTACTTACCAGGTAGTCTGGCTTGACGTTCAGTAGCAAAACAGATGCATGCATTCATGCACTGTTCTCACATGCACCCCTTGCTCATGCATCCCCCAAATACTCCATCACCAGGTGGTGATCTAATGTCCATGCATGGACCCTGCGTCCCTTACCTCGTTACTGATTAGGACCTGGAGTCTTTCCAGATACAGGTCTTCTACTTCCTGGCTAGCCCAGCTTAAGGTTTGCTAGCAAAAGTATGTATATGTGTACACATGCATGCACACGCATGTACACACAGTTAATTCCCTAGGGAAATACAGTCTGGTCTCCAACTGCTGGCACTTAGACCTATGGGCCCTGTGAGCCGCAGTCCCTGCTCCAGTTGCTGGTGCTTAGACCCCAGCAGCACACACCGCACTCCCAATGGTGCATGATCCCTTCCCCAGTCGCTGGCACCCAGATCTCTGTTCTATTCTGGTCTCTCTGTTTTTGGCACCTGGATCTACAGGCCTGGTGACCCATGGTCTGTTCTCCAGCTGCTGACAATTGGACATGGTAGCACTCGCATAGGACAGAGTGAGATTACAAAGGTAAAGTCAGTAACAGGATTTAATAAGAAGATAGGATACACTGTGTTGATCAGGTGTAGGGCTCAGACAAGTGTCCCATGTTTGTTCCTCTGCTATCCATCCTTATCCCTCACTTTCCTTGCCTTTGTCACTTCCCATAAAGATCCTGTAATTTTTACATAACCCCACAAGTTCTTTCTATTATTCCATGGTTTTGGTACACTCCCACAAACCCTCTCAAATATCTCATCATACTCACAAAAATCTTGATTTCCCCCACCCCAGACTATGCCCAAGTATTTCCTTTTAACAGCCCATCAATCAGTGACTGAAGAGTTCCAGTCTTTGTCTACCTTATTACCTGCTCATTAATGTTTGTGTGTCTGTTTCCTTTATTGCTTTCCTTGTTGCTTGTTATTTCTATTACACTGAATAGTCCTTAACCGGATAGCTTAATGAACCAGATGTTCTTACATTCTATGTACTCTTACAGTGACATAGAGAAAAATACTCTTGTTTGTGTAAGGTCCTGGAATCATGCTGCTTTTTGTATTGGTTCTGGTTTTACCTCTGCTATTGTGTTACTGCTATCACTTGCTTTTTTTACTGCTCATTTTCTCAAGGGAAGAGCTCCAGTTATCTTCAGTGAGATTTCCTATAGGATTTAATGAAACCTGAGCATTACACGCTTACCAGACTTGTAATGTTACACTCCCAGGGGCATGAGTGAGTTGCTTGTATAGATTTCTTATGTCTCTGAATTGTACTAAGAGCTTGAGCTCTCTGCCTGGTGTGGAAACCTTCTGGCAAGGACAGTTGGTGTGCTTGCACTAAAAATAATGTTATCCAGTTGGTTGTGTGCTCAAGGTCCTGTCTTCAGACGACAATGAATAGCAAACACAAATGAGTTTGCAGTGTGTTACAGCATAACAAATGCCAGCCTACTCTAGAGATAAAGTGTACTGACATCAGGCCAATCTGTGTACAAGTCTGGTGAAAACATAGTATTTGTAATTTAAAAAACATTTTAAGTATTGAAGTAATGCTGTGTAAAATCAGTAGAATTCTATTCTAGCCCCTAAATTTCAGAAGCTGGACAAAATGAGGAAAATAGTTTTATTTAGAAGAAACATAGTCTAACAGTTAAGGGTCTATAATTGGAAATCGCAAGAGGTAGTCTGTTCCCTTTCTGTACTGCTGCACATACATGTGAATTTAGGTATATTACAGTGTCTTTGACATGATTTCCTGAGAGGTGTCTCATGAGTTGCAGTGCAGATGCAGAAGGAAACTAAAACTAACGCTGTCTGCAACCTAAAAATTTCATCTACGTTGCACTTTACTTGCACTTATGGATGTAGCGGTGTCAGTTATATTAATGGCAATTTCTAGAGTAACCTGAATTACTTTAAAGTAAGAAAAGCTCCAAGGGGCTGAAAGCCTTCAAGGTAAAATAGGACAAGATAACTAGTACAGCATGGAGATGGGTTCAGGGGTAAGTGGATGGGATGTTTTCCTTTCCAGCTTGTGAGTCCTGTTCTTGAAACTTTCTGTGCTGACTGCAGGCCCAGGACCAAAGCAAGAGCTCTGGTCAGTGATCAGGTGAGCAGGCAAAGATGCACGCAGGATATTCATTATGGGAATAGGGTTGGGTATTAACTGGGAAAAATCCCCAGAGCTGTAATTCTGGGGGGGACACAAAGCCAGACGAAGAACAGTGCATCTCTGAGAATGTCATGTTTTGCTATATTGACTGTCCCCTAGCCTTCTGTGAACTCTTGGGTATCTAATTTGTGTTTACATTGTGGCAGCACTGTTATTTCTGGGGCTTTTTCAGAGTTAGGTCATAAGTACGGTTATTTACTATTCATAATGCTTTGCTTAGAAAATTTGAGTCATTCAGCTGGAAAAACAGAAAACAATCACAAGGTTTAAACTATCAATTATAACTAAACAATCTTAGCACTCATACAGGGTGTAATTTATTCAGAAAAATGATTCAACAAACACTTGCAAATAATGAACATGCTTGGAGGAGTAATTTTTTTCTGAGGTTGTTTGGGAACAGGAAATGGTAAAAACTGATTAGTTGTATATATTTAGAAACATGTATGTAGAAATAACTTACGTCTAAAAGAACCCAAGGCTTGATAGAGTAAGAGGTCAATATTCACGATAGATGTCAGCCCACCCAAGATTGTTTGAAGCGCATCATCAGAGAACTAACTCGGGGTGTGAAAAATGGGACTGGTAGGAGGTTGGGACTGAGGTGCAGGAGTTGGGCTCTGCTCCTCAGGAATGGAATAGCAGCACAAGTTTTGCCAAGGGATATTCAGAAGAGTTTTGAGGAGGACTTCCCTATTGCAGGATTAGGCTGTCGTCATGCCTTGATTCTGTAGCTGCCACGAGTGAGGTGGTGTAACTAGTTGTGTGCCCATGGGGCAGAATGGGCCACTGGACTTTGAAGAAGGCAAGATGAAAGTCATTGGTTGCCGGCTAGATATGCAGCCGTATGTCATCGCTTCCAGCAAAGCCTGCACTGGTCTTACCTTGCCACCAAATGGTATTTTCACATTGATTCACACAAATTTTCTCCTGCCATCAGTTTCATTGTCTTTCTTTCTCATGTCAGGCCCCTGATGCACTAACAAGCTGGCCTGCTTACAGTATTCAGACGTGATTCTGGTGGTAAAAGCATGTGGTAGGAAGCAAGGGAGTAAAATCAGGCAGAATGTTGTGCTTTGGCTGTGAAAATCAATGTTCAGTTTACTAAAAGCCATTAAAAAGGCATTTCTCTGATCAAACATCTGAGACTTGAAGGAAAGCTGGACTATTGTCCTGAGGGGAAACGGTTTAGTGATCAGATGTCTAGCGAGAGAATAATGGAAGAGCATCAAACCTATTTTATTTTAAATATATTTGCTTTGGTGAAAATGCTGTTTTCTCTAATGGTTTAGCTGCTCCTGTTTATGGTTTAACTGTAGTTACAAGCGTAAGCTGCAAAGTGAGAGGGTCTTGCATGCAGTGTGTGAGTGAACTGTGGTTGAGTTTATACTTAATTTGACATTCATGAATTCATATAATCTAGTACAGGACTAAGTGACTTAATTTTCACTGCATGCTGCTCATATGCTTGAGAGACAATTTTACATACTTTTTAACCAAAAAGGTCTCATGGGAGAGAAATAGAAGGCTCAAGGACAAAAGAGAAATCAGTAATTGAACAGGGAGACGAATAAAGGAAACCACGAGGAAAATGAGAGCAATAATAAAAGTGTTTGGGAAGAGAATGTGGCTGAGAAATGATTGCAAGAGCTGGAACAACGTGGGGGGGATATCGCTGTAAAAAGCTCTCATAGGAGAGACTGCCCAGCTGTTTCCATGTGCAGATTTGTGGTGTTGGTGGGGAAGATAGAGAGGATTTACAGAAGCTTTAGCTTTCCACTGCTTGGCGTCAGCAAGTATGCCACAAACTCCTGTGTTGCATGGCTTGGCTGTAGCCCTACAACAATCTTTGAATTATCTTTGATAGTTCTCTGAATGTGTCAGTTTTGTGTTTAGCAACATTAAGGCAGATTGAACATTCAGAATTCCTAGGAAAAGAATAGCATATAAAAGGGAATGTATGTCCAAATCTTTACACGGTTCTGTTCACTGTATCTTAAAAAGGATATAATAGGACTTAATAGAAAGTACACAGGCACTGAGGATGTTCAGAAAGATGGGCCAACTTCAGTGTGAGAGGAAACTAAACGGATGGGAACTTTTTGTCTTGGGAAAGAGGCAGCTGAAAAAAATTGTTAAAGGTTTATGAAATCACAGGTAGTATGTGGAAGATACTTAGAGAATGATTACTCACCATTTCTAACACAGGAGTTCAGCAGGTACCCAAAGGAATGATGAGCAGTTTTAAAACTAGAGGAGGGAGTCCTTTTTCACCCAGTGCGGAACGAAGGTTAACAGAAACTTTTTTTTTCCCATGAGTTTTTGTGACAAAGTATGAAGAAGGTTGTAAAGAGCAGGTCTGTTGTTGGTGAATAAACTTGATGACCTGGATCAGGTCTTCACCATAAATAGTACACACTTCTCTGATCAGAGAAAGCTGGAAATGACCAAGAGAAGCTCTATTTCTGATACTTTGTTCCTTAGGCGTTTTGTGCAAGCCATTACTGAGGCCAGAATATTGACCTCAGTGAACAGCTGACCTTGCACAGTATGGTTCTCGGTATATTCGTATATTCTTAGTGTGTTAGTCGGTTCCAGATGATTCTCCTTGACAGGTCAAAATTCTAATGCTATAGAGCCATGTGCATGTAAAGTTGGGCAAATAGGTCAAAATAAATAGTGACGTATGAGATCCAAGCTGTGAGCGTCAAACCGGGAGGTAAAGCCTGCTCATGATTTCTATCCTTAAAGTTTTTTAATTGCCATTAGTTTTTTCAAGGGATCCAAGAAGTAACAGTAAATCAGAGGCTGAAAACAGGTTAGCTAGTTCAGCTGAGAGCATGCAGCAAAGATGCACAGTCTTTTTATGTCTGTTATAAAAAGACAAGGGAAGAGAGGCTTGCCATAATTTCAGCTGGCTACAAAGTGAACTTTCTGTAGTTGATTGAGTAGAACTTCTCCAACTCACAAACCTTTAGGATGACATGGAAATTAATCATAGCAGTGGAAGCAGGGAAACAGGCATATTAAATGAAAGAAATTTGAGCTCTGGTAACTATTTTATGTGTTTGTTCCTATCATACAGTTTCTGTGGATACTCTAAGTGTGATTTAAGTAAAAATTAAGTTTGTCATTGGCTACAGGGATGACTTCCCCACTAAAATGCATCAATATTTTCTGGTATTTTCACACACCACTATTTCTATGCTGTCCTTAAAAGCAAGAGATAAAAACCACTAAATGTCTTAGTGAAACACTACCTGAGGTTGAGGCCTGGGGGATGGGGGGGATGAAAGTAGTCACAGGTAGGGTATAAACTG